GATTCGAACCCGCGACCCTCAGATTACGAGTCGAGTGCCCTAACCACCTGGCCATGCCGGGCCATGTGATTATGAGGCCTCCTATGGAGGATTCTTAAAAAAAAGCCGACAATACCATTATTTACGTGAAAAACGTTTCTTTAAAATCCTTAACTCAAAGGTTCAAATAAAGGGAATATGATCATTAGCAAAAACAAAACTTCACAACAATAAATACTAAAAATTTCTCCTTCCTATCTACACTGTGGTATTCTCGGAACATCACATGTTGACTACATTTTTCATGGATATTGTGTCCATTAAATCTCATTCACAGATTCAAACCTTTAGTGCACTCAGCCTGTTATTGGCCATATCACTTCTACTGTATGATTTTACTATTTTCTATATACTAAAATTATGCTTATCTTTACATACACTTTGTGCAGCAGTTATTAAGCACTTGTGAGCTTTACAAACATCAAAAGTAACCTATCTGTACTCTCCTTAACCTTATATACACGGGTGGGGGTTCAAAGTGTGCGTTCCATTATCTTTTACAGAGTGCAATTCAACACGGTATTATGTTTTTGATGTCGGAGTTATCAACTATTAATTACACCTTCCGTTGTTGATTTAGCAATAATTAGTGGTGGAGGAGAATAGATGCCTGTACAATATACATGGATACTGAAAAAAACAACAACCAGATATGCAATTCTGAGGTTATAAAGGTTAAGTAAATGCAATATGCAAACTGTACGATGGACTAAAGTAGTTTTATTCTTTACACGAACATCACCTTGCACTCTGACTTGTGAGAATCTAAGTCAGCTGACGTCGGCAATTCATAGACATATCTTTAATACATATATGTTTGTAACTACTTTGATTTTTTGTGTGTGTATGTACGGCATACTTGTACATTTACTAAAAGTTTGCCAAATTTCGTGTAGATACATGTAATAAATTCGGAATTACAATCAACATTCATTCTCCAATACGGCTCAGTCCAATGGACCGATTCTGTGCACATTTGGTTAATGGTTTTGTTATCCATGTTGAATGTAAATGTTTACAAGGACGAGAGATAAAGTTAACTACGTAACTTACCCCGCCGATTCTCCCTTTAACAAACAGACCTACCTAATACAATAGGAGGAAATTAGTTTAACTTGAAACTACGACTAACTTACAAAAAGGTAGATTCAAAAGCATTCCTGGAAGATTTGGTTTTGAATTTCGCGCAAAGCTACACGAGGGCTTTCTACGCTAGCCGTCCCTAATTTAGCAGTGTAAAACTAGAGGGAAGGCAGCTAGTCATCACCACCCACCGCCAACTCTTGGGCTACTCTTTTACCAAGAAATAGTGGGATTGACCGTCACTTATAACGCCCCCACGGCTGAAAGGGCGAGCATGTTTGGTGTGACGGGGATTCGAACCCGCGACCCTCAGATTGCGAGTCGAGTGCCTTATCCACCTGGCCATGCCAGGCCCAGAACAAATTTTAAGGTCAAGTATGGCAGACGTCATAGACCTTTCAATAGTCCAGTGAGTCACTTTGGAAAGCTGTTCTAGAAGAAACAAAAAATTATATTTTATCAGTTAATATACATCACTGGCCAAAGAACGTATGCATTTGTTTGTCTGTTTGTTTGAAGTTAAGCACAAAGCTACACAATGGGCTAT